CTGGCCAGGGAGGAAAAACAGGGAAGGAACTGAAACAAATGCTCATTAAGCACAAATATATTCAGCTGTTGGACACAGAAATTCTGTGACAAAATGCCATTCCTTCCCAGAAACTTTAAGACACTGATGAGCCACACAGTGACTCTGGAGCTTCATCCCAGCTGGATGTTTGGAGGATGGGGAGGGTTAAATGAACACTGCCATTTCACTGTTGCCTCATCCCTACTGCTCAGCTGCCAAGAAGCCAGACTGAGCTCATGCTAGCAGCCCCTCTGGAGTCAAGAGAGAATTAAACCAGAAGGATTTCAGAAAATATAAAATTATTTCAAGATCAGGCCCTCAACAATATCTTTTTTTGTAAAGTGACTGCAGGACTGAGCAGACCATGTCTTAGTAAACCTCTTCTCATGGTTAATTTATCTATTTTTCTTTATAGTCCTGTGCCTCAGAATATCAAACTCTGCTTGAGATAACCCTGGCAGACCTGGGGACATCAAAATTACTTGTGCAGTTTGTTGTGTCTATGGCACTTCACCAAACTGAACTGATATTTCTGAGACACAGAGACATTACTGATGTCTTCCCTGAATTATCTTTATCAGAGTTTAAATATGTGCTAGTGTACTGAAATTAAAGGAATTCCTTGGAACTTATATCAAAACTGAGCCCTTCCTCATGGTGATAACTAATTCTGTGCCCTAGGGATGGCAAACATCCTGCAAGAGAATAATACAGAGAATTAGCAAAAGTCATGTTATCTAATGAAAACCTCTTATTTTTTTATCTAAGTTTGTTGACCAAAGTTACTTCTGAGTACAAGTGTGAGGGAGGGTGTGTAACCATCAGGAGATGATTCTGCAGCCCTCCCTGGGGGAGTTATTTGGCTACAAGGAAATAGGGTATTTGTCTGAACCTTTGTCTTTTTTTATTCCCCAAGTACATCAGTTTACCTGATTTGGAATTAATTAGTAGTAGCATAGAATTAATACAGTATGTGTCTACAAATGCCATTTTCCCTGTGGATATGAAAACATTTTATGTTTTTATTGACATTTGAAACAGAAAAACATATTTGATGAAAGCTTGACTGTGCAACATGCCTGGCCTACATAAACCACTCAAGATTAGTCTGGTCCCTACACTTTCAGCTCAGAAAAATCTAGAGAGAATCTATTTTATGTTTTCCTGTCTTCTACTTGTTTTCCTTTTGCTTCTACCTCTCATCTCCCAAGGAGCATCATCACTCACTCACTCACTGCCTCTCAACATCAACACATCATCACTCTCAGATACCTAATATACAGTATTAGAAGTAAATAAAAGGGTAGATGTAGATTTCAGAGTCAGTTTCTTAACCAGAGTTTTATGCAACATGTAGCACTACTGGGTCCAAAACTGATTAAACTGCAAAGGATCCAGTTAAATATTTATATTGATTTAATTAAACTGGGATTACATTCATATCTGAAGCTGACTCCATACCACAATATTTACTCATTTACCTATTAGAGGATTAAAAGTTTCAGCTGTGAAAGATTAATGTGTTCAAATTTACACTGCTGTGTTTATTAACAACACACTCGAGGGAAATTAAAATATTACTTTTTTCCATTTTTAATGCCTTTCACAAAAAGACCTTTAAGCAAGAAAGACTTTACTCTGCCTTAGTGTCCAGCATGAATGAAGGTACTGCTGTGTGAATAGACCAGACTTCTTTCAAATTTTTAAATCTTTTTTAAAATATTCCTAATATCCATGAAGTGAGCAAACTGCTGCTGCCCCCGAGAAGGAAACACATCGTGTGGGAAAGGCTTTTCTAATTTTCTATTGATTACACTGACTTAATAAAACAAATCTGTTCTCCTCCCACCCAACTTCTGCTCCTGCCATCAGTTTCTGAGCACGTTACTCCTCTGTGCTCCAATATTCCTAATCAACATGACAGTTCTGACCTACTTACACACTTTCCTCCACCTCCAACCCCTGCTGCTAATTTTTTCCACCACTCCCAACTTCCCAGATGTCTGCTTGTTAGCTCCTGCTTCTCTCTCTCTTTCTACCCTTTCTTTAATTTCTCCTCCTTTCTCAGATCTCACGGAGACAACTTGACTCGTGTTTGAGCCAGGCTCCTTCCTCTTCATCACAGTTCTTGGTGTTGCTTGCTTCCATGCAAAGCCCAACCAAAACATTCCACACAATTTCAGTAAAATTTCACAGCCTGAACACACCACACTCCAGTCAGTTGGGAGCACAATATGTAGTCCAGAGTATGGAGAAATCCAAATTTCATTCCCCCAAACATAAATCAAAATATTATGTGGATTTTTGCATGAAAGGAGTGAAAAAATTCATTTCTCCTAACACCTTCTTGTGAGTCATTGAGAAGTTAAAAAAAATAACAATCCAACTATGCTCATAATTCTAACATGGTTAAATAAAAATGATGGCTATTTCAAGATTTAAGGGTATTTCAAGATGATACATGACATGTAATATGCAAACAGATTCTACATAACTTTATTTTATCCCTTTCAGAAAGTATTAGCAAGTTTTCTGGCTTCACAGTATCCCAAAATAACTGCAAAGTTCATCCACTGGAGAGTCTGTAATGGGGGTTTTGTGAAAGTGCATGAGAACTGTGTTTTTCCAAATTAATGCAAAGTGATGCATGCTCAGAAAAATGACACCAGATCCACTGGGGAAGGACATGAGTCAGAACCTGGAAGGCAGCAGAATTACCCAACTTACTAAAATAGACTTTTTAACTGTTAAGCTATGTATATAGTTGGTATAAAATATATATTGTTCATTGTATTTATTCTGTTTGGTGTTATGAAAAACATCTTATATTTATTAAACATAAAGCTGTATCTAAAAAACTGAAATTGTCTAAATTACATGACAAAAAAAGAAACACTCTCTTGAAGCAAAGTGAAATCTTATATGCTTAGGTAGGATGAAAAATCCCACTTCCTTTTAAAGCATCAACACAGTGCCAGCCCAAACTTCACGTGCCAAGTCACAAATTCATAAAGAATTCTCCTGAGTGAGTTTTAAACTGCTGATGGTGCATGTGAAAGGAGATCAGGTCTGAAAACCACACACAAGAATAAAACCCTTGCTGCAAGATAGCAGCATTGATGAGTAGAGGGGAGGGAGCAAAACACTTCCAGATCCATACAAGGCACACAGTGTTCTGCTCCTAAAAAGGAAATATTAATTTCAGCACACATTTTTGGAGTGCCATTAGGATGACACACATAAAGCCTTACCCTTGCATTTGCCCTGCTCCCAAGTTAATTCTTTTCCAGATGCCTCTTTTTGGGTTTTGGGGTTTTTTGTTTGGTTGGTTTTGGGGTTTTTTTTTTTGGTTTTTTTTAAGAAAGAGGTTGCAGATTTTCTGAGGAGAGGGGGGAGTGAAAGAAATGGGTTAGGATAAAACTTCAAAGAGAGGAAGCATGGCTGAAAAAAAAATGTACAGAAATGCTGCAGGCAGCTAATTCTTTAGTCCTGTACTATGTTAAGCTGCACTACCTTGGTGCAGGTACTGAAAGAAGAGGTCTCGTTCTCCCAAAACATTTGATGTCTTTTTCCCACACACTTTGCTACCAGCACTCTTGGGATTTGTTTAGTGATTTCCTCTGGCAAGTCAGTCTTCAGCAGCACCAGTTCCCCAGTCAAGCACAGACACCCAACGCTGCTGATGAGAAACAAAGCAGCAGCAGCAGCTGCTGAAGGCACTGAGGAGACTGGCACCATACTTTTCAAAGGCTGTGCCAACTCCTGTCCGGCTAAAACGCTTGTGAAACTGAGGAGTGTTTCTTCTCAGAAGCACCACAGAATGTTCTAGAAACAGCGCTTGGTCCCATCCCTTTGTTGTCCCAGCAATCTGATCCAGAAACCTCCTTAACATACAGGATAAAGGGCAAATGAAGGAGCAGAGCTTGCTTTATTCTGGGTGTTCTGCCTGCTCAGTTATGGCTGGTTCCAGGCAGTGGTTTTCGGGCTGCCAAGGGTTTTGCCAGCTGGCTCTGATCCCAAAGGCAGCATACCTGCAGCGCCCGGCTGCTGTGGCTCCCCGTGCCACCAGAGTGGGGGCAGCTTGGACACCAATCACTGAAGGGCTGCTCGCCCATCCATAGGTAAAATTCAGCAGGCTGGATCACTTTGTAAAGAGGATGTGGTTTTGTCTCGCTTAGGGGCTACAGAGGCATTTTCCACCACTGCAATCCAAGCACATTCTCCCGGTAGGTCACTGCGTTGTGCGGACGGAGCACTCCCGGACTGGGGCACAGCAGCACCCACGGAGGTTTGGGAGTTCCCACCGAGGTTTGGAGGTCCTACCCAAGGAGGGTTGGGAGGTCCTTCCCACGGAATTTCCTCAGAGGGGCATGGAGAGGGAGGCGCTCATCCCTTCTCTCCGGCCTGCAGCCGTAGAACACGAGGGGATGCTCTAAAGCCACCTCGGGGTTAGTTCAGGTTGGGTATTAGGGAAATTCCTCACGGAGAGAGTGGGAATCCTACATGGGAATCATTGGGGTCAGAAGGGGCCTTTGGAGATGACCAGTCCAACCGCCTGCCAAGGCAGGGTCACCTGGAGCAGGTGGCACAGGAACGTGTCCGGGCGGGGTCTGACTGTCTCCAGGGAGGGAGATTCCACGGCCTCCCTGGGCAGCTGTTCCAGCTGCTCTGACGCCCTCAACTTAAAAAATTCTCCCTGGAGCTGGCAAACTCTTCATGTTTCAGTCTACGGCCCTTGCTCCTCGTCCTGTCTCCGGGCACCACCGACGAGAGTCGGACACCATGCCCCTGGCACCCGCCCACGAACGGCTCCCCGGGCAGGGGCAGCGACCCGAGCCCTCAGGCACCGCAGCAGCGCGGGAGGTTCCATTTCCCTCACTCCCTGCGGGAATGCCGGGGCGGGCCCGCCGTGACGGCTGCGGAAGAGGCGTCACAGAGAGGCGGCGCCGTCCCCCCGCGGAGGAAGGACGGGCTGCAAGATGGCGGCGCCGGAGGAGCGGCTCGTGTCGGAGGGCGAAGGCGGCGCCCCGGGCTCGGCGCGGCTCTCCCCGGCCCCGCTGCCGGAGGCCGCCGAGCCGCTGGCGCCCATGGAGCCGCCGCCTCAGAGCAACACGCTCATGGGGCTGCCCATCGTGGCTATCGAGAGCATCCTCAGCTTCCTGTCCTACGATGAGACGAGCCAGCTGCGCTTGGTAGGGGCCGCGGAGAGGAGGCGGCGGGGCGGGGGCCGCGGGGCTGCGGCCGGGACCGGGCTCAGCCCGCCTGGCCCGGGCAGGGCGGCGGTGGCGGCGGCCCCGGTGCCCCCGCCGGGCTGCTGCGCTCACCGGGGAAAGGCTGGATGAGGTGGGGTGGGTGCGATGGGGCTTTATCCCTTCTCCGCTCTCTCTCTGCCATACGCGCATTCCTAAAGCTCTTTATTCCGTCTCTGACTTCTTTCATTCCTTTCACGCTCTGTGAGAAAGCACCGGGCTGCTGGCGGCTCGTTTCTCCCAGTGACTGGTTGGGGTGGGTAGTCTATTGTGTCTCATATGTGTGTTTATTTTTGCTTATAGGGCTTAAGCCTACAAGTGTAGGAGGTGGTGAGCCTGCTGCTCCAAGAATCCTCCCTTATCTAGAAATGTGGGTCAAAAAAGAAGATGTAAAAAAAAAAAAATAACCAAACCAAAAAAACCTGCCTGCTTCTTCCAGTCTTAGTGGATGCGTAATTAATAGCATATAGTATCTGCACCTCTGAACTTGATAATGCCAAGAAACCCCGCAGCTGTCAGCGAGGAGATCAATGTATATCAATATTTAACGGCCTGCAGAAGGAGCCTGATGTAAACCATGTCATATTATGATAAGCTGTTGTCTTACTGAATCCCTTACGAGGTTGTAAATGGAATAATAGTGAGGGAATTAATGCACAGCTTATGTAACTCTCAGTAAATGTGCATGCACTGTACCATTCCTATTTTAAGAACTCGATTAGTCTAAACTGGATAATGTTACAAGTGTATTTCTGCAGGAAATTGGACTGCCTGTGTCTTGGATCAGCAACCTAAAGTGTTGCATCCTGACTGTAACTATAAACCAAAAGCTCTTCAAGCAGAAAACCTGTTCTCATTTATACTCCTCCAAGCACACCAGTTCCTAAATATTTCTAGAGTGTGCTGTCAGTCCCCTCAAGGCTTCAGCTTCTTCTGTGGGAGTAGGTAGTGGATCTGTCAAAAAGAAGTAGTGTTTGAGAACCACAGAATAGCCTGAGTTAGAAGTGAGCCATGAGGATCCCAAAAGCTCCTGGCCCTGTACAGGACATCCCCAAGATCCCAGGTGTGCTTGCAGTTTGACCAGGGGGAAGGGAAGTAAACCACATGGTGTTTGGATATGCCACGTTTCAGGCTCAGAATTGCAGGCACAGCCCGTGGCTGCAGCTTTCCCTTGCACCTTGTGAATGGCAGTGCCTGTGGGGGCTCTCACAAGTCCTCAGAAGGCTTTTTCTTTCTCCAGCTCTCAGTGTTTGTCATGCTCTGTTGGCAGTGAAGGTGAGAGCAGGAAAGGTGAGGAGGTCAGGACTAAACCAGCTGTTTAACTCTCATTGGCACTTAGGAAGTAAAATGTGACACTTTTATGCTCTTTTGTATAGCACCTCCAAGTTCCTTTTTCTAGAAGAGGACTGCCCCTTTCAGAACTTTCAGAAATATGCAAAACCAGACTTGATAAATACCAACTTTGACACATATGTAGAACAATACTGCGTGTAAAATGAAGGAAACTATTCAGTTGGTCTTTCCCTACTTTTTGAGTCAGTGACAGCCAAGAAAATTAATCTCCATCAAATTCCTAGCTGTTCCCTTAAGCACATCAGAAGGCATTATGAGCATTGTTCTGAGAAGAAAGCAGCCTTTTGTTAGCCAGCAGTAATGTAAAGAATCAAAGCCTTTCTGCTGTGAGCCCATAAGCTTGGTCAGCTGGGTCTCTCAGGTGGCTGCTCAGAGCTGGAGGTGTTCTTTTGGCAGACACTGCATGTTCTTCATAGCTCCAGGTGCTTTGTCAGAGAGTTAAGGTAGCCTTTAAAAACAGTAGTGCCCAGGCATAAATTCAGAATGAAATTTCATTACTTTGGGATTTTTCAAGGTGGTGAGTAGCCTTTGGAAATACCTGTGTGTTCCTGCTCTAAGAGCTGCCTTGCACAAAAGTAAATTTTTGTTTTCTGTGGGGACTGACTTGAGCTGCTTATCAAAGATGAATGAGTGTGTCTTATAATAAGTAGTATTGTGCTAAAGATACATTGCAGGAGCACATTAATTGAATGACAGATATGAAATTGCTCAGGTCTCATGCCTATTAGAAACATGCCCAAAAGCAACCTCATTACCCCTTAGAATGTGGGATTCCATGGGATAAAGCATCTTGAGGAAGGCAGGAACATCCAGGACATCAATCAACCTAAACAAAGTTTGATCATGTTTAGACAAAAAAATGTGGATTCCCTAAATCAGTAATTTTGTTGCATTTTCTGGATCCCAGCATGGAAGGAATGGATGTCTTAATGTGTTTTTTATTTTGGAGCACCTTAGCTCAGTGATCCATAAAAAAACCATCTCTGGATTGAACTGGGTTTGGATCTTCAGTGTATACAAAACACCAGACTGAGGAGTTGGCTGGGTGGGGGGACACAGAGCCCCAGAATGTTTTCAGATTGAAATGGAGATAGGAATGTGCATTGTTTATGTAGAGCATAATGAGGAGCATAATCTCAGGCATGAGATCCAGAAGTCTTTTTCTGTCCTGAAAGGATGAGGTAAAGAACATTTCCTGCTTGTGATGATTGCCATCAGGCAGGGCAGGGCTGTGGGCCCCTCATTGTGCACAAAGCTTTCCTGAGCATAAAGCTCTGTTCCTGGGGTCACTGTGTGAGAAAGCTGAAATGAAGCACCTACAGGTTAAGCACTGAAGTAGATCCAAAGAGCAGAGACTAAACAATAGGTATTCAGAGATCAGTCATGTCTGAAATGAGGGAAATCTTGAGCCCTCAAACTTTTGTTCAGACAAAGTGAATGAGAGGAAAAGCAGCAGCTTTTTGCTTTCAGCCCTTTTGAGCATTTACTTCATCTGCTTCCTGTGATGATCCCCATGAGAGAAGCACAGAAAACACCAAGGATGCCAATGTCTGAAGCTGTAATGCTGTGGACAAGCCCACTGTGCATGCTGACAGGCAAGCTCACTATCTTCCAGCTTTTGAAGGCTCCTTTTACAGGGATATTTTTAGTGACTTGCAGAAGCTTTGAAATTTTTACCTCAGTGGGATAATAATGAAATTCTTAGATTCCAGTTTCTTTTTCAGTCACATGTCTGAGCTTGGAAAGGCACTTCCATTCAGGCTGTTACTACAACAAGCATGATTAAAATCTCACAGTCCACAACCTCCTTCCATGGACACTCTGAGAAGGTTATCTTGGATTCTGACACACATCAGGATTACTTTGATTCTGCAGCAAACTTGTGCTTGTTTCCTGCACAGCACAAGTAAGGACTGAAAGCCTTTGGACAGCATGGCCTTAATATTCCCAGTTTCAGTCAGTCTGTGTTTACAGGCATTTCTATTTTAAGGTTTCTTGATGAAGTTATAAGCATTTTTCCCTAAAAATAACTTACTTTACCCTAAAAAAGACATTTTACAGACCATGGTGTCAGTGTGCTGTCTAAGAAAAATAACATATTGAATCTAAATACTCTAGGATATTTTATATTTGTTTTGGAATTGGTTAGTGAAGCTTGGAAGAAATAAAACATGCTTTTTAAGGAAGGTAGTAGATTGTGTCAGTGTGTTTACAAATGAAGTGGAAATTAGTTTATAGGATCATAGGAAGCTGCTTTCACATAAAAGTCAGCACAACCTCTCCTTCTGCTTTTTAGATGGATTTGGAATACCTTTCTGACTCTGAAACTTGAACACAGGGTCTGGTTGGACTTGACCTTTGAGGAAACACAGCCTCTTTCAGCTCTGTGACTAAAATAAGAAAATATTCACCAACATTACAAATACAAGGATAAGAAAATTCAATTTATGATCTGTTGAATATGTAATATCCAACTGTCTTGGACTGCTGTGGACACCTAAAAGTGTAATGAAGCTACTCTACATCTCTGTTCCTCTAAATCCAGGTGCTCTATGGTTTAGGTGGTGAACTAGCTGAGAATTACCAGGTGATTGGTAACATAAGTTGCAAACAAACACTTTTGATTTCTGGTGATCCCGAAGTTTGGGATCTGGACTGATTATTGGCTAAATACGGGTAATGTCGAGAAATGGGAGCAAATAATCCTTCCTGCTGTGCAGGGCAGGCAGAGGAGGAAGGCTCAAACCCCGGTGCGGTTGGTGTGTTGGGCTGCGGCTCCCTGGGGTCTCTTGGCCGGCAGATGTCACTGTGAGCGAGGTTACAGCCGCTCTGCCGCCTCCGAGCGCGGCCGGAGATGTTTCCTGTGCTGCCCGGTGGCCGCAGAGCTGCCGCAGCCCTGTGCGGGGCCCGGTTCCTGCTTCAGGATCCGGTGCCATTGGAGCTGCCAGAAAGCTGCAAAGCCCTGACTCAAAAACGATTTAAATCCGTGCGCCCCTGGAGCTGCGAGCTCAGGGAGGAAAGAACCATTTCCTCCTTCCTGCAGGAAGGCCGGCATTTTTCCTTATACACAGGAGATGATTTAACTGGATCACTGAGTGTGGGGCAGTGTGCTGAGGCTCTCCCTCTGCCGTTTGCCTGGCTGATCCTTCTTTGTTAAGGATGTAATACCGAGGAGCACAGACATACACACAGTCCATGTATGCCTAATGGGCTGTCCGTACAGAGATGTCTGAAAGTGGTCAGTTCTCACAGAACTTGGCTCACAAAGCAGAGCTTCTTTCTTTTTATACAGAAGGCATTACACAAAGTAATTGCAGGTTTTACTGGGAGAGGTGAGAATCTTCTTCCTCAAGGTGTAAACTTACATAGACTTTAGGTTATGAAATGATGAGTGTGTGGAGGAAAGGAGTGTTTATTTAAAAAAAACAGAAAGAGTATTTATTGGCAAGTGGGGTCACAGTGGGAGCTGTGGACTTCAGTACCTAAAAAATCCCAACAAACACAAAATTGCTTCAAAGAACAGTTGGGTCACTAAGCTCTTGTACCTTCAGAATTGAATAGCAATTGCTTTAAATGTTTGTATGAGTTGGCTTTGTCCTGTAAGTGGTAACTTTGTGAAGGTTTAACTTTAGCAATTTATTGTATCTTCTGCAGCTCTTCGTGTCCCTTCTTCCTAAATCTGTGGTGCAAAACCCCCTGAGACTACTGGTGTCCAACAGCAAATAGAGGAATCCTTTAAGCAAAGGAGAAAAGACTTTCTTATACAAAAAGGAGAATCTTGTTCCATGTGCAATGTTTTCTATGTGTTTTTAAATTCAGTTGTGGTTGAGTTAAAAAACAAAAGCCTTAAACACTGAAAGAAAACCACGGTGATTTCTTGTCTTTAAAGGTTTCTGGTTTTGAGACTACAAAATACTAATTTCATCTACCAGAATCACTGTGGAGACCATGCTGAAAGCCAGGCATGGGCATCTGCAGCTTCCATTAAAATCAGAGGAAATTGTATTTGCTTCTAATAGGTGCCATTCAGCCCACTGTCTCTTGTTAGGCAAAATCAACATTTATTTGTGAACTGTGTGAAACATAGCTGCTCCTTTTTGGAGTATTCTGATCTTTGGTGGAGATGGGAATGCCTTAATCTCAACTGCAGTTTTTGCTTGTTGAAATGGAGCAAAAAACTGTAAGAGAATCTTTTGCTAGCTGGCAGGTAGGGATAAGATAATAGTAAAAGTGAGCTGTGGCCTTAATTGAGCCTTAAGATTTCTTTTTACTTAAATACAGGTTTGTAAGCGCATGGACTTGGTTTGCCAGAGAATGTTAAATCAGGGATTTCTGAAAGTGGAGAGATACCACAACTTGTGTCAAAAGCAAGTTAAAGCTCAACTTCCAAGGTATGTACCAGTTAAAACTGGAATTAAATGTAATTGTGTTAGATTCATTTAAGCAGGTTCTTGAAAAGGAATTCCTTTCTGGCTAATTCTCTTATATATCTTGAAAATTTGAGTCACATTTGCCTTTATTTAATTTTTTTTTTCTAAAACCACCTTGAACCTAAGATTTAATTTCAGAATAGTGGTGTGAGAGGTGTGTCTGGTATTTCAAACAGAGAAGTCTGGGTTCTGTATTAATCAACTCTTCTGGCAAATCAAACAAGGATTCCTGGGAATGAATAAATGCCATTCCTTTTCAAGAACAACTGCCTTCACCGATGATTTATCAAATATTCTGCTTAAAAAAAGGCAAGGTTTATCACTGGCAAGGATTAAATGGGAACAAGGAAGAGAGATTTGACATGTGAGCATTACTGGGAACTGGTTTCTCACTAAAGCCATATCTTTCTTCCTCTTTCCACTGAATAAGAGCAGCTGCTGCTGTGTCCTATCAGATTTCCCAGTCAGAGTGAAGAAACTAAATGCTACTTGACATAGAGATCCTTTCTCAAAAAGGGTTTCTAGCTCAACCTAAACTTCCCAGTAGCTCTTTACTATGTAAACTTCACTACCGATATATTACATTTGTTATTTCAATTGCAAGTACTGACCATATGAGTGAGTGGGATAAGTGTATTCACTCTCAGTGTCTGCTGCTGTCAGTATTGCAGCCTTGTTCTTAAATGTCCTCAGTTACACACAAAATTTACTATACATAAGGTGTAGTAATTACTTAGAGAACAAAATTTGTCTAAGAAATTGTGCTGTTACTGGCTGGGTCTCTATAGTATCTATTATTTCTATGAAGACAAATGTTTGTGGTTAGAGGGTTTTAAGGGTGAAATTAACTTGACAAACGTTACAGTTGGATTTTTGACTCCTTGTTAAAGGAGTGTCACCTTGTGGTGTGTTTTCCAGGCGGGAGTCAGAGAGGAGAAACCATTCCTTAGCTCGCCATGCAGACATCCTCGCTGCTGTGGAAACGAGGCTGTCTCTCCTAAATATGACTTTCATGAAGTATGTGGATTCCAATCTCTGTTGCTTCATACCTGGAAAGGTAAAATGCAGATTATATTATGTGAATCTGTATCTGTGTTTAAAAAATAGGATTGTGTAACTTAACCTGGCACAGCTGGGGAAAATTTATATTGTATATATATATATACACACTTGCAAATAAACCTGCAAGCCAATACTCTGTTTTACCAGGCAGTCTAAAATGAATAAACCAGGCTGTATTTAAATATTAATTATTTTAAATTAGATTTCTCTTTGCCCTTAGATTCTCTCTTGATTCTGATGTTTGGCTTGTGCTATACTCATCTTCTACAACCTTTTAGAAAAAAAATGTGATCAGGCCATCTGAAGATGTAGTAATTTAGATTACACATAACACTAGGTACTCAGTCAGTCATGATTTTATGCACCTTCTTAAGGGTTTGAGTACTTCAGGTTAATTGAATTAAGGTATTTAGTATGTCAAAACACTGTTCAGTATTACAGTGGATGGTATATTTTGTACAGTAGGTGGAATTAATTTTAAATGTAAAGTGTGTTAAATGGGAACATTACTGAACAGTTCTGGTGTTTTAGAATAGCAGCCCAGCATTAAATATAAATTATGCAGACAAGATGTACATTTGAGATACTGATGTTTTATAAGCTGTGAAATCACCAGTGCACAGGGGAATTGACAAAATCAGGCTCAGAGGAAGACTGGTACAGCTGAGGGATTAAATGAGATCAGTGAACATTACCCTAATGCTCTATTCATTGATCTTCCCTGTAAGGTGTGGATATGTTGATGTTACTTTTTGGTGGGCAGAGAACTGAATTGCAGTGAGATGAATGGAAAGGACTCTGGGGAAGCATGGAGGCATTTATGCATGCAGTGGTAGGATAAACTGTGGGCATGGAATGTATTCTTATCTTTATCTTATTTCTGTTACTCTTGTTGACTTGATATTTAATTAATTTTTAATTATATCCTTGTATGACTTTACATTATACTGTTATATACCATGTATTAAAAAAAAAAATATAGTGAAGTCAAACGAACTTAAGTCCCTGATACTTACATGGTAAATGGGATTCTTAAAAAAAAAGTTGCTTTGCTGTTCTGAAGAGTAGAGGGAAGGGCAGTACTCACCCTGTCCCAGTAGAGGGAAGGGCAGTGTTTATCTCAGACCAGGGGTGTGCAGGAGTTGGGCAGGTGAGCTTGCTTTTCCTTGTGGGCACCAACTTGTAAGCACCTTGATTTTATTTTAATACAACTGCTAAAAAGTTGGTGAGGTTTTTTTTTTAAATTATTTACTTATTGTGTGAGTTTGCTAGCACTGCTGCACTCCCAGCACAGTTACCAGTTCACCCATTAATTAATATTTTGGTCAGTCAGATTCAAGGCTCAGTGTTCACTTACAGTCTGAGGTTTCCCTCCCACCTGCTTGCTTCCCTCAGGAAATGTCACCATAGAACTGCCAGGAAGTGAATTTGTGTTAGAATATGCAAATCCTGGTTTGAGGTTCAGCATTCTGTGATAGCAGAGCACTGCTGCAAGGTTTTCTATTGAGGATGTTGCTAACAGGATATAGAGTGGATGAAATTAGAGCAGTCGTTTGTTGCTTGATGAGAAACTTAGGTCTTGTGTAGCTTTTGGGACTTTTTAGCTAAGTTTCCTTTATCAGAACAGAAGGTGCAACTGTATTACAAGGTCCTTATTATGTGTGTTCTTCAAACATTCTTAATCCTGTGCAAAATACCTGTACAGCTTTGGCTAAGACACCAGCACTCCTATCTTGACCTGCCTCAGATTTTAATTCATAAATTAGTAAGACTCCCTTCATCTTTCTGTATCTCTCCTAACTAAAGGGCTTTGCTTTCCAAACCTGTCAAGAGGGTTTTGTTCTCTGTCAGTAGTGAATTGATGTTTTGTAAATGAATATATTTTGGATTTAATCTGAATTTGCAATATTTTGTTTGTATGGAAGTGGACTCAAGTAAATATTTACAGCTCTTCAGGCTGACATAATGCTAACTCTTGCTACTCCAATTCTGTTTCATGACTGGCAAGGGTAGTGACTGCTCTGCTTTAGGGCTTCTTGCTTCAGGGTCTCCTGCAGGAAATGATCATGCTTTGCTGAGTATAGATTATGTAACTTGCAAACCAACTATGCCTGTACTTCACATTTCACCTAATGAGCATTATTTCATTATTTTGAAGAGAGCTGTTGTGATAGATTTAATGAATAGCTTCTCTGATATATCACGAGCAACACTTTAAAAAGCTGATCTGAAACTAAAACACACAGTGGTGTGCAACTGTTATGTGGTAAAAACCCCTAAATATGCCAGAATTCCTAGAACAAACTGAAATAATCTTGCCTTTATCAGAAAATCCTAATTCTTCTTAAATGTTTTAGGTAATAGATGAAATTTATCGAGTGCTAAGATATGTAAACTCTACAAGAGCTCCTCAGAGAGCTCATGAAGTTCTTCAAGAACTAAGGGACATTTCCTCCATGGCTATGGAATATTTTGATGAGAAGATTGTTCCAATACTGAAAAGAAAGATGCCTGGGTCAGATGTATCGGGACGTCTAATAGGAACTGCCCCAGGTATTAATTCCAACGTATAGTTCACTTTTATTTAGTTGTTCTTTAAAACAATCACAGCACTGTATGTTTCCTAAGCTCCCTCCCTTCAAGGGGAGCTTTATTACATAAATATTGATGATACTTGTTTTTAAGAATGCTAACTGAAATTCATTTGCTTTGAAAGTTAAGGAGCCTTTGTACTGCTAAAAGAACAGTCACTTGAGTGTATGTTGGAGTTATGCATAGTGTGAATTCATGAAACAAATGCTTTTGTGCCACCAATGAATGAGACTTTATCGCTGCATTTGGTTGAAATTTGGCACATGAGATGACAACTCACTGCCTTTTATTTTTAGGACAAGCTGCAAATGAATTTGTCTAAGCTGTAACAGCACATAGAGGGCTGGAATGGGCTTTTTTTACTTTGCTGGGGGTACTGTTTTATGCACTAACAAGCAAAATAGCTACAGGTGATAGTGAAAAGGCAATTAAAATAACAGTCTATACAGAAGCCATTAAACTTGTCCTTCGAATATTCTGTCAGACTTTCCAGAACTTTTGTGAACTAAAGTCCAAGGTAGTTGCCTCTTGGCTGAATTTATCCTAATGGTAAAAGGCAAAAGATTGGCAAAATTGTAGAATTTTCCCTATACAGGATGTGTTGCCATTTTAGGAAGTGTGAAATTTAACTTTCTAGAAAGATAACTTAGTAAAAACTGGGGTGGGGGGGGGAAATAAATCTTAAGTAAAACCAATAGGCCTAACTGCAGATGCTTTTGTTTCTTGTATGTCCTGTCCATCCTTTTAGCCATAAGTGTGTATGCCACCTTTAGTATATCCTTCTAGTTGTACTTTCATTTTTATAATTATATAAATTTTAATTTTAAAATTATAGTCCTGCTAGTTTTAATTTTTAAAATGATATATGGGTTTAAATTTTTTCCAATTATATGTGTTAGTATATACTGAGCCTCTCAGCTGAGGAAGTATTGCCCAAACCCACAGTTGATATCAATCAGCTTTTCAAGGCCAAGGCTTTGTGGTGCATTAAATGCCTCTCTCTTGTTGAGGGAAGGGCATCACCTCTCTCTTAGTGTCCCATAATGGTAGCTGTGCTGCCATCCTGATGGAAAAAAAGGAGGAAAAGGAGGATGACTGTTCCAGACTCTTCTGTCTGTAGAGCACTTAAAGTTGCACCTCAATTGCACAGCCTTGCTAGAAGAGTATAATAACAGAAAAAGTGATAGATACCTTTTATGGCAGAAAAAGTGAAAGAAATTATACAGTAGCTGTTAGTCTCCTTGATTTGCAGGAACTTTATTAGAATCAACACTTCCAAGCTCAGATTCCAGTATGGTTTTAGTGCTTAGGAGGAGTGATTCTAAAGAAGCATGGAAAATAAATTCCTTTCTTCTAAAATGTAAGTTATACCAAAATACCTTGTTAAGTTCCAAACTACAATTTTTTAGAACTTTAGCTGCAGCTAAGACAGCAGAATTTTGCTGTTCTAATGAAAGATATTTATTCAGTCTTAACTATTCCATATTAAGTAATTTGGAGATGTTTTGTGGGATTTTGTCTTAATATGTGTGACATTAAGTCTAGATGACAACACAATAGTTGTACACAGTTTTTGATGCAGCAAAAGGAGGGGGGCTTATATACAGGAAATGAATTATGAACATTTTTCCTGACTACTGAAAAGCTGTAAGTATTTTAAATTAAACTGGTTGTGCTCTGAGATTACCACGTGTTCTTGTTAGACACTTAAATCTGTTTGCCTGTTCACGTTACTCGCAGTGGGTGCTCAGATTCACGTGTGGGGAGTAGGGATAAGCAACACACAAACACTGGGATGCCGCTTGTGCCCGTAAGTTGCAGAGCACTAATCACAGTTGTCTCTGAAGTTCCAGGGCCTTCTGCAGCGCTGACAACCATGCAGCTGTTCTCCAAGCAGAGCCCCTCCAGGCAGGAAGTCACCAAGCTGCAGCAGCAGGTGAAAGCCAACGGCACGGGGCTGACGGCGCTGAAGCGGGAGATCTCGGAGCTGCGCCTCAAGGTGCAGGAGCAGCAGAAGCAGCTCCAGGATCAAGACCAGAAACTGCTTGAGCAGACCCAAATCATTGGGGAACAGAACGCGCGCTTGGCCGAGCTGGAGCGCAAGCTGCGCGAGGTGATGGAGAGCACGGTGGGGAATTCCTCGGGCTCCGGCTCAAACGAACAATCTCCCAGGAAAAGGAGGAAGGCGGTGGATGCCACAGACTGTCCCAGGAAATCCAAACGCCTTCGGAACAGAAAATAACCGGGGAGGAGACGGCGCCTTCAGGAGGATACGCTGCTCTGGTAGCCCAAGCAGGCCTGCTTGTTTGGATACTGTGACCAGCTCATGGTGTCACTTAGGCTGCTGGCTCTTCAAAACACCACTTAGACTTGAACAGTGATTTTCTTTCATTGACTTTTCCCCTGCTTTCTATATGGGTGGGCCTAATGCACAGAATCTTTAAGATTTGCAATAGCTACGTACTAACCAGACCTGCTCTGTTATGTTTTGAAGGGTTAACCTTTTTTTCCGTGCAGACGTGTTTTAAAGTAAACTTATTTGTGTTTATGCATATGTTCACATGAAATCTTAAATAAATTGTCTTAACTGACTAAATGGTTAAGAGTAAAAACAGATGTCCTGTTCACTTGAAGGAAAAATCCGCTTTTAAAACCTTGTTTTTGAGAACTTGACCTTTTTTGTTACAAGTGACCTTGTCTGGAATGTCTGAAAAGTAGTTAATACTTTTTGGGGTTCTCTGTAACGAGTAAAACTGACTTCTTAAGCTGCAGTATTGGCTATATATTTTTGTAAACTTCCACAGAAGGGCCTTCTATCCAGTCTTCACATGCACACACCCTGGTCCTAGGTCTTGGGAGCCATATTCTACATTTGCATGGATAGATGCATGTACAGCTTAGTCAGCCTGCCAAAAGCACTTGCCTGAAACTGTTCCAAACTCTGGGAGAGAGCACAGAGACCTGTCAAGCAATTCCTTTGTTCCTCAGCCATAATCAGTGTCTGCTTTTGGGCTGTGTGGCTGCCCCTTGCTGTTGTTAGCCAAAGCTGGAGAGTGGAGAGGCTGCCTGTGCATCACCTGGGTCATGGCCAACACCCAGCACCTGCCAACTGTCCCTGGAGTCACCAGGCTCTGGGGGCATCACTGGAGTGAAATGCTGTATATGGTGAAACTTCAGCAATTTTCTGTGTCTGTGTTGGGGTTGGGGTGGAAATTTCTCTGTAACACTGATGACAATATTCTAAGCTTTCCTTATCCTAAAAGGTAAATCACTTCAGACAGAGCTTTAATTTCTTTTGCACTTCTGTTTTGAGCTTGTAACTGGAAAAGCATGTCTTGCACTGTTCAGTCTCTCTGGTCACTTTAACCACCTCAGAGTTGTGTACAGTGATTATTCCCCCCCTGCCATCTGTATATTTTTGGAATCTTATACAAATACCATTGTCCTTGGTTTTGTTTTAATGTACTAAACTATATAGCTTTATAATTTGACTTTTGTTTTCTTTTTTTTAACCAGCTGCTGCTTTGTCTTTAGGTGGTTCTGAATTCAACTTGGTATGGCACTGCAAATGCAAACGCTGCATTTTGTAGCTGTTCACAATCTTGATATTCCTGCTGTGGGTTAAAGTGCAAGTTCATTTTGTGTGGCTGTCAGCATACCCTAGTGGCTGTGTTTAAAGCACCAAACAAATCAGAAGTTATCTGGTCAGGTATTATATAATTGTGGCAAACTGACATTTTTCCTGAAACTTCAGCTACAATTTTTACTTCTAAAACACAGTAGCTCATACCAGAAGTAACATTACAAATGCCTAATATTTGACAGACATTCAGCTTTCAAATAAACTTCTCAAGTAATTTGAGTCCCTTTCAAAAAAAAAAAAAGGCATTTTTCTTAATAATCAAAGAAATGATAGAAGGCTGTCTGAGAGCAGACTTCAACTGTTGAAGGAGCATTTGCTTTTACTGGTTTATTCACCTCAGAATCTTTGTTACAGGTAACTTTATCTTGGAGATAGATACCTGCTATTCAGCTTAAAAATACTGGCATATACCTGAACTTTTAAAATACAATTTTGAGTCAAAGGGTCAGCATGATAGCTAGAATTACTGTGTGATGCCAATTCATTGAATGGTTATTTGTGATAAAAATGGACTAATTGCCAGCTACTTGTGGTTAAATGCTTCCAAACAAGTATAAACTTGTGAATTGCATTTACTGAAGGGGTTTATTCATACATTCTGAATATTTTTCACTTCAGTTTCTTTATTGATTTCTAGAATATGCAGACAGTTTCCCCCTCCCCACCATGCCAGTGTACAAATCATTTCAGGTTATTCCAGAGTAGCATTTCTGGATGTGTTGGGGAATCTCTGGCTGTTCCTAAACTGAGCTGGAGAACAACAGCCAATTGTTATGGAAGTGTTCTCTGGGAACTGTGCCAGCTTGGACCCTTCAGCTCAAGGAAGTATCGTGTGCTCCAGGATTGCAGGTGCATCCTGCTCCTCCATGTGCTGACATTTTTCATTCCAGTGAAATGGGATGAGGCCCATGAAACTTCAGGGGTAGAGGGGATGGTTACAAGAAATTCCACAATAAAGGTACACCAGTGTTTTGTGTTTCACATCCCAGAGAGGAAACATCAGATGGCTTTTGGCTGGAATGTACACCAGAAAAATATACACATGGGAAATAAAACCAGAATGAAGTAATTGTTTGGACAAAATAGCTGGAGCTTTAATTTCTGACGCCACATTGTCCCTTGTTAAATAAAAAGGATAAATTTTGCAATATCTGAACAAGCTGATGAATCACCTGAAGTAAAACTGTATCTCTTTTCACTCAATACCTGTGCACATTTATGTGAGTTGGTGTATCAGCCTGGAAGTCGTGTTGGTGGTGATCAGTGATTGTATCACCTGTTTAAGGGAGAGCCTTGAAACACTGAGACTGACATGCAGTTTGCAAAATTACCTGAGAAACTGATTTGTTTGCATCCACTGTTCAGTTTCAGTACTTGTGTCAAGGGCTGAAAGAGGTCAGAGCTGTCAGGGAAAGCAATATTAAGTGTCTTAAATCTGGTTTCTTAAAAAAACTTGAAAATACTGAGGCCAGCTTTACTGCTTTTTTGAAAATAGTACTTGCTTAGAAAAATAGCACTTGCTTTTTGTTTTGTAGTAAGGTTGGAAATTTTTAAAATGAATTTGTGTACCTAGTGAACATGGTGAAAATAAGATCAAGAGGTACCATAGTGATACTTTTTTGAGGGAAAAGCTGTTTGTGACAAGGTCTTGCTTCCCAAACTGAACACTTCTGTGTAACTACAGTGTGTAAGGACCCTCCAAATGTGGGCTAGTGGAAGTGCTGAAGGAAGAAACAGTACCTGCAAATTTCACAGATTAAATACAGATGGAAACAAATTGAACTTGGTCAGTTCCTGGTACTCACCATTGCATGTTAATATTTATTAATGCTGCAAAGGATGCCTGTGTGTAACTTGTTAAAGCAAAAGGTAAGACAGAATTGAACAGAAACTTGGTTGCTCTTACTCAGATCTTCTCACAGTGAATTGTGGGGAGCACTAGGGCTGCCAAAGGAGTTTTCAACATCAAGAGCCTCTTGAAGATAGGGTGATGTAGGATACAGTGCAATGTGTCCCAGCACAGGAGAGGATTCTCTGATTCCTTGGTGTTCCTGATGCTTTTAAGAGGGTAATTAGCAATTTTCAGTGATTGTTACTTCATGAATTAGTAAATTCAGTTTGGACTATCTTACAGCAACATGTCAGCTAGTTGTGAGCTATTCTGTTCAGCTCAAGTTGCATTTCTGTGCATTTCTGTGCTACTTTGCACTGTACCTGGGCCAGCTTGCTTGTCCATGTGCTCTCCACTCCTGCAGCTCTCCTGCCTGGATCTCACCTTGCCCGTTCTAAGGATGCAGTCCTGGCTTTGTTCACATGTAAGTGAACATTCCAGGAGTTTTGTTCAAGCCTTGTGCCAGCTGAAGACACAGTAGGTCCTGGATCTCACTGTCTCTGGAATGGAAAACATCACATACAAACACTGTTGGCTTGCTGAACACCTAATCTTGGATATGTTACACAAAATGATCAAATGCAGTGATTACATGGGGAAAACACTTTGCTCTCCAGTACACTTGGGCAATTAAATTGCCCAAAGCTTTCCTATTTAATATCTTTTTTTAGCTGTTTAAGCCTTGTTTAACTGCTCTGGAATGTTCAGTTTATAAACCTGGGGTATTCTGTTTAATTCATGACCATTTACAAACCTGTGTGTGTTTGTGGTGCTGTAAACCTGCCTCTGTGTATCTAACTCCTGTCACTCCTCCAGTGCTCCTGTCACCTCCTGCCACACTCCTTTTGGCAGGATCCTTCCCATGCATGAGGAGCCCTTTAGCACAATGATTAGCAGGGCTAATATTTGAACTCCAACCAGTGTTACATGTGGTGTTTGGAGTGCAGCTGAGTGAAACACTGATGACCCCAAGAATTCTGCAGTCAGCTGCTGCACTAGCAACCCCAAAGCTTCCTGGTTTATTGTGAAATGGTCACTGACCAAAAAGTAAACCTGGCAAGGTCTCAGAGCCTCGATGCAATCTAGACATCTGCTTTGCCTCTGATGCTGCACCAGTCTGCACAGTTCAGATTTTGTGACTAAGGAGGGAAAGGCTGAGCAAAACCTTTCCCGTGTCTCACCTCCCTGCTGCATTTTTCACTTCTAAATCCCACCCTAATGTGCTCTAATGCATGCAAACCAAACTATTCACAAAAGTGCTGTTTTATAGATCCTGTGCTTTGCCCACTGCTTCACAGAATTTCAGACATTGAATTTCCCCTCCAATAGCCCTGTTGCATGTGGGACTTCCAGCAGCTTGTAGGCATGAGCCTTTTGTACTCGTTATTACTAATAAATTTAAAGTGATGAATCATAACCTTGAGATACTAGTACTACCTGAAGAGATAAGGCATAATTTACTTTGTGATAATAGCCTCCATTGTTTTTATCGCTACTGCTGATTTAGATTAATTTGAGTGGATTTTTGATCTACTGATGTAGATTATTATGAGCAGACAACTGAAATTCCAACAAGCGGTAGTTCAACTTCTACACAGGGCAATCTGTCTCACTGAACTGCCCACAATCAGTGTTTTATGACAAATACACACAGTGACAGATTAAATAGAGGTAAGTTCTTACAGAGGAGTTTGCCAAAGAAGTTCTTAAAATATCTTACCACAAAAAGGGAAGGAAACGGAGACTTTGCTACAGGCGTTTGGAGTTGTAGTTCAGTACCTTTAGGCAGGGGCCTGGAAGCACGGGGTCAGAGCAGGACAGCAGCTCACGGGAACGCGGGGTTAGGACGGCGAATGGCTGTTCCCAGTTCTGAGGGCTGCCCCTGCCCGCTCTGAGGGTTCCTCCTGCCCGCTCTGAGGGCTCCTCCTGTCCTCTTTGAGGGCTGTTCCTGTCCTCCCTGAGGGTTCCTCCTGTCCTCTTTGAGGGCTGTTCCTGTCCTCCCTGAGGGCTCCTCCTGTCCCGTCTGAGGGCTGCCCTTGCCCGCTCTGAGGGCTGCCCCAGCCCGCTGTGAGGGCTCCCTGCTCCTGTCCTCTTTGAGGGCTGTTCCTGTCCCCCGCTCTGAGGGCTTCTCCTGTCCATTCTGAGGGTTGCTCCCGTCCCCCTCTGAGGGCTCCTGTCCCCCGCTATGAGGGCTCTCCTGTTCGCCCTGAGGGCTCCTCCTGTCCCGTCTGAGGGCTGTTCCTGTCACTTTCTGAGGGCTATTTCTCTCCGCTCTGAGGGCTCCTCCTTCGCCGCTCTAAGGTCTCCTGCTGTCCGGTCTGAGGGCTGCTCCTGTCCCGCTCTGAGGGTTGTTTTTCCCCGCTCTGAGGGCTCCTCCTTCCCCGCTCCCCGAGCCCCTCAGTGCCCGCCCCGCCCCGCCGCCAGGGGGCGCAGCGGCGGCGGGAGCGCGCCCAGCAGCGGGCGGCGGCCAATGAGCGGCGAGGGCGGGGCC